TGTTGTTGTTGTTGCTGTAGTTGCTGTTGTTGTGGGGTGGGGGTTTTTTGTTTGTAGTTCCTTTCTGTATTTTCTCCTCTTTCATCACGATCAGACCCGATTCCAAGCGCCTTAAATTGTCGGTGTTGTTTTTTGCTGTTTTCTTGCGTGAATGTCTGTTTGTTTGTTTGTTTGTTTGTTATTTAGGCTCTTGAGACAGTACGTTCTGCACTTACGTCATACAAATTAGAGCCTTCAGGACATCAGGTCGCTGTTTAGACTTTGCTGTTTTTTGTGTTGTTTTCTCGTGTTGTATCTTCTCCATCCCCACCACAATCAAGCCTTGGTCTGAGCGTCCTGTTGTTAGTGTGGTTTCTGCATCTTTTAGATTTTGTTTGTTTGTTTGTCTGCTTGTTTATTTTTGTTTGTTTCTTTGTTTGTTTGTTTGTTTGTTTGTTTGCTTTCCTGCTAGTTTGTGATTCGAGCTCTTGAGAGAGGATGTGTTACGTTTACGTCATATAAAAATGATGCTTCAGGTGTTTTGTTGTTGTTGTTGCTGTTGTTGTTGATGCTGTTGTTGCTGTTGTTGTTGTTACTGTGCTATTTGTTTATTGTTGTTTTTGTTTTGTTTGTTTTTGGGCCGTTGATGTTTTTTGTGTTTTTTGTTTTGTTTTGTTTGTTTTGTTGTTGTTTTTTTTGGTGTTTTTTGGGGGGAGGTTGTTATCTTCTATCTTCTCCATCTCCCCCACGATGAGGTCCTAGTCTGGGCGTCCTGTTGTTGTTGCTGTTATTGTTTGTTTTTTGGGGGTTTTCTTTTGGAGGGGGGGGTAGGGGGAGGGGGTGTTATATCTCTTCTATTTTCTCCATCTCATCCAAAATCAGGCCCTATAGTCTGAGCGTCCTGTTGTTGCTGTTGTTGTTGTTGTTGTTGTGGTCTGTGTACAGTGTATAAACAGCTTGACGTGTGCAGGAGATAGCGTGGCGCCACAGACGTGCCAGCCACCTCAACGGTCAAGTTGACACCTCGCCCACTTGACATCAACCTGCCCAGTAACGCACTCTCGGAATTTGTTTCCCTCCATGCTTCTCAACACCTCCCCCCC